ATTTATTTATTTATTTATTTATGTGTGTGTGTGTGTGTGTGTGTGTGTGCGTGTGTGGCCAGCTCAGCCCACCAGGAGGCGGCGCTGGCTGGCATGTGGTGCTGGGGGATTGAACCGTGGTCCCTGTGCTTTGATAAGCTTGTTCTAAGTAGGTGCTTTAGACCACTGAGCCATCTCACCAGCCCCTTGTTTCTAGTTATCTTACTAAATTCTTTTACTTCTCATATTAATTTTAATTTAACTTAATTGTTTTTAAAGACAGGGTTTTGCTGTGCAGTACTGGGTGGTGTTGGTAGTCTATGTATGATCTCTGGGTATCATCCTTTCTTTTTCATTTCTGTCCTTTCAACCTTCCAACCTTTCCCTTTGGTTGTTCCTTATTTATAACACATTTCTGACCAGTTCTCATCACATTGCTTCTGTTTGAAACCTCTAGAATGGTTTCTCTTTGCCTGAGTAGGCCTTTACTAAAACACCTAGTAGTAATGATGTGAACTTTGGAGTTGACATGCAAATACTTAGTTGTGTCAAGTATATGTTAAGATGAGTGTTTTATACCAAGTCCTCTGTCCTTAAACCTCTTACAGCTCCTCTTCTGACTTTACTTTCTTTTTTTTTTTTTTTTCAGAACCGGGGATTGAACTCAGGCCTTTGCGCTTGCCAGGGAAGCGCTTATTACACTGAGCCATCTCCCTGGCCCCCCTGACTTTACTTTCAATTGAAGAATTTGCTTTATACTTTAGGATAGGAGCTACCAAAATGTAAAGTATCACAAATTGACCTACAAATTGTTTACATCTTTCCTTCCTTGTTGCAATACAGGATATGTTCTTGCCATGGGCCAATCTCTCTTTTTATGCCTGTATTATATCTTTTTTTAGCTCTTTAAGGTTTCTCATCATAATTTTTTTTAAAAAAATATTTTACTAAAGAGCTTTATTGAGGTGTAATTCATATGCCATAAAACCCACCCATTTATATTGTGCAGTTCAGTGGCTTTTAATGTACTGAGATGCTAGGTGTGGTGGTGTACACTTGCAGTCCTAGCTGTTGGGAGGCGGAGGCAGGAGGATCCTTGGGAGTTTGAGACCAGACTGGGCTACAAAGTGAGCTCAAAGCCAGCCTGAACTGCATAGCAAGATCCAGTCTAAAAAAA